TTTTAGCACTTTTATCAAATAAATCTTTCTTAAGGTGTTCATTTTCCTACAAAACAGATCAAGTAGTTATAAGATATTTTTCCTTATTATTCCAGTTGTTCTGTTAAATGAGAAGATTAATGCCAACAGGTTTGGCCAAGGACATGATGGTAGACAGGATCTCCAGTAAACCTAATTTGTTATACTTGCAAAATATATATATATTTTTTTTTATTTCTTTCTTTGAAAATTAAAGGGTTGATAACATACCTGAGCGATTCTAGTAACATTTTGTATCAGTATAGTAACTTCCATATTAGGAGCTGTAATACCTAATGATGTAGAGGAACCTCCTATTGAATGTAGATCATTTAGCTACAATAATAAAAAGAAAAGAGTTTTAACAGTTCAATTCAATCAAATACAGGTCAGATTCAGTTGGAGATGTCATATCTGTACGTTAGTTTTTACAGTTTAATTCAATGGAATAGATAATGTTGGAGGCTTCATAAGTATAAGTTACATGAAAATTGTATATGCGATTCGAACAGGATTTCCGCTGTGTTTCACCTGTGCCGAAAATAAGAAGGTGTAGACCGAATTCAAAATGGCGGAGAAAAGAATAGAAGGGTAATTTTGAATGTTGACATATCTGGTTTCATATAGTTTCCATCGAGGGCTGGAATAGACAGAACCTGTTCAGAACTCAACAATCAAGTGCTACTACAGTTTTGTGTAAAAGAAAGATCACATCATTATAAGTGTGTATAGAAATATTGTTTACCTTTTCATAGACCTTATCCACCTTGTCTCCTATTTTACTGATAGCCATTCTAACTTCTGTATTCTGTTGTCTAGTTTCTGTTAGTAATACAGGACCGAATACATCAGCTGATTGTTGACTAGAAGGTGGGGTAGTGCTAGCTCCTGAAAGTTTATAAAATATTGGTTACAGGACTATATCCCCAGTGGCGGAGCAGTAAGGGGGCAGTAAGTTTTTCGGGAAAAAATCTCATAACTAGGTTAGAGATTCGGACAATCTCAGATATCTCGCCCCCTCTCGGACGTAAACCTGACTCCGTCACTGTGTCCACAGTGATACAAACAGAAGCATAGGGACTTTTGATTTGACTAGATGATGATGATAGTTCAAAATATTGATTCAAAGTTACACTGATACCAAGATTATAGATGATAAAGGATTATACAATCATTTGTTTTTCAGTTTTTTTGCTTGTGATGTGAATACTATACAGGTCAGGATTGCCATTTAAAACAAACAAAAAGAAAACACTGCAGAAAAAAATCAGAGAAACACTGCAAGAAAAATCAGAGAAACACTGCAGAAAAGACATTCCAATCTAATTAATTAGTTGCTGAAACAATATTAGTTAAAAATATTCACAATTACAACTCAAAATAGAAACATGCATGAAAGTTTCATCTCCATCTAAATTCAATAAACCAAAAACAGCATACATTTTCAGTCAATTGAATAGAGCATGCTAACAAGGGGCTCAGATGAAAATTTCTTTTACGAAAATCAAACAATGCCTGAAAAGACCATGCTCAAAAAAATTCCAGCACCAATCTAAAAGAATGGGGTTATAACCTTTGCTAGATTCACACTGTGTTTCTACAACATCTATAGAGTAAAAAATACTTGGTTTAAAACTTTAATACAATTCACTTTGTAGTCAGTTCAACACG